TGAAGATTGTCAGGTGTCCCAGTGTTTCGTCTTCTAAGGAAAGGATCCATGGCACGAACACAGGAGCACTCTTTTTGCACTTAAAGCAAATCCTGAAAGTCTTGGTGAATTTGTAAGTGTTGCTACTTTGCTACTACTTACTATGAATGATTGTGATGTTGCATGAATGTTCTTTGGGCCTTGGGCCTGAACAAGCAACAGGAAAGAAAGCTTGCACTGTAAGAACTGCTACTGACCTACACTGGAGAAGGTATTTCTACATTACGGTATGATGCTGTCAGCTGAGAGCATCCAGCAACTTTGGACGGCTTGTTGGACTTTTTAGCAGATAAAACAGCTGAGGCCTAATGTCACCAAGAGACGATCATGAAGACCATCGATAAGAAGTTCACACATGTTGCAGACACGCCGTACTCCTTCACCAGCTGGGGAAGAGAGCGATGAGTCAAGGATACGCGAAGAACATGCCGCTGCCCCAGAAGGCGGTGCAGTCACAAAGTCAGCTTCCTATGCAATGGATGTGATAATCCCGGGATCACCCGCAGTCCACAGTCCTTCATGACGTCAGATTCAATTGGAGCAAAGCCGATCCAAATGGCCTGTCAACTGGCATTAAACGAGCAAGCACAGCTGCCCTCACTGGTTTTGATGAGCTTTCTGCCGAGACGATCACTACCATTATTCTTTCTATTCTACACCATCACCATGAGAACCTGCGTCCTTGCTTCAAACCTTCGCACCAAGCCTGGTTCGCCATGCAGCCGAACATAAAGAGCAGGAGCATGCGCCAGCGTGCTGGGTCCGCGCGCCACGTGGGAGGTGCTGCCTTCAAAAGAACTAGAAAAGTCACTGAAAAAATTGCCAAAATCACAAGCAGTGAACATGATAAGGATTGTGGTGTTGCTAGTGGCAGTTGCAGTCATGTGGTGGCAGCCATGATCCTCCTCTCACTTAACTTTACATATACGCATCCATCTGCAGAAGTAAAGGCAAAAGCATTTGCAGCAATAGTAGTGTTGCGATAAGTGTTTGTCTGCAACTTTAACTGTGGCACACTTGTGATGCTAGCAGGCTGTCATGCAAGGCGGCAGTGTTTGCTCTTCTCTGCTCCAGAAACAACCTCCCATGACACTCCTCCTACTGCCACACCTGCTGCTACGACTATTCTTCCTACAGTCTGTTGATATCGCTGCTGCTAGCAGTACTGCTACTGTTGGATTCAAAGAAGTGCCCTCTTCAATAACTTCAGCGCTTCAGACTCACCCTGCTGCGCCTCATCAGCCGGACCGGCAGAGGCTACTTCATCCTTGCCAACCTAGGCAGTTCTTTGATTAATCTAAAGAGATAGGGTTATGGAGGAACTTGGCAACTGGCATTCAAACACCAATGCGAATCGAAGCAGGTGTTCTTCAGGTCTTGTAGTGCAAAAACCCAAAGCCGTCAAGCTGACTCCCAAACCCTTGACCCCCAACTCGCAGGAAAACCCTTGCGCCTTGACAACCAGCTTTCCAAACGTTACTGCCACTGATGCTGCGTGTCTTATTGCTGCTGTTGGGACTGACGCCTGCTCTTACTGTTAAACTGCTTGCTTTCACTGCAGGCCGAAGCTGCACCACCCCGAATGCCTCCTCATGCAGTCACTGCGGCATTCGTAAAGCTAGGAGAAGTACCCAGCACACAAACACCCTGCGAAAGCCACACCCACCAAAGTAAGCACATGCAGAGCAAACGGCGGTGAACGCTCTTAGTTCCCTCCTAGAGCCTACAAAGCTGCTGCAAATTAGCTTCAAGAGTGCCAGAAAACCCTGGTCACGAAAGACAAAGACCGAAGCTCGCGTGTCACAGGCATTACATGCCAAGCCGCGAGCAATTCAAGAGCTGCTGGCAAAACGCGAATGCGGAGGAGACCATCATGCTCAAGGACCTCAGGGGTCAGGTGGCTTGAGGTTTCGGGTTCAGGTGGAGGGGTTAGAACAAAGTTCTGGGGAGTCCAAACCTCGCTTTCTGGGTTGCAGCATCTTCGTGGGGTCAACCTACCACTGAAGACTGGGCACTGGGCGTTGAGCACAACAACCGGGGAAGGCCTATGACAATAAGTTTACGCATATGCGACTGGACCAAGAAAAAGGTAGGAGTCTCGGGGAGTACAAATCGGATGGAGCATACGAACTTGCAGGTGTAGACTACAGTTTTAGACTTACCAACATCACAAGTGCTGGGTCTTGAGGTTCCTGTTGTACCCCTAGCACTGCTGCCTCACCATCTACGTTGAAGATCCCTGGACCGTCGAAGATCCATTCCGCGCTCGTAATCTGCTTCGAGTCCCAGACGTCCTGCAGGCCCAGAACAACACTGGTGATACTCAGCACTGTGTGGACTTTTTGCGGGCTTCTAGAGTAAGGAATACATGCATGTTGGGGCTTGATGAACATATCTCATGCGGAACCTGCAGTCTAAGCAGCCTGACTCCTCTTTGCAGCCTGCCTGGCCCTACAGGCAAGCACAACATCACGGCATGGTCCATCTGCTTCCGAAACAATCTGGAGCAAGAAAGGAAAACTCAACAGTCGCATAGTCACGGCATTGCAAAACAAACCGTTGGACGGAAACTTCTTAGCCTATGAAATGCTCGAACCAATGCTCTGCATTCCACATTGCTGCATGTTCCTGTCGCTTATAGAGCACGTGTCCTTGTCACCGGTGTGCGCGCCATTGGGCAGCTTCAAAAAGCCCGCGAAGGTCTGGTCCACGGTGGCACCAGAGCCCAGGACCTGGGATGCCAAGCAGGCCATCAGCTGGTCATGCGTGTTCGTAGTGGACGTGGCAGTCGCAACCGTAACATAAATCTGGACGACACAAAGCCAACTGCACAAAAGCCAGACATGGCAAAAAACAAGGGACTCGAAGCTAAACAGTATTGACCTGGGGCTGCGCTGGCAATTGGAGCTGCGTGCTAGTTATGATGCCTTGCCTTGCTGCAGGAATTGTGGAGATAAAGACACTTAGCTGTTCTCGTGTCTCAACTTCATTGGAGTCCTGCACCTTGAACCCAAGAGTGCTTCGAGCCAAACCAAGAAACACTACACAGTGTGGTTCTGCTGCATTTAGCGCCACGTGCAATCCGCAGACTTCTCATATCATGGCCATCTATGGTGATGCCTTGTTTTGGGAAGCCCCAAGTATCAACAATGAAATCCAAAATCCTGAACCGCAGTCAAACCTAAATTCATTTAGATGCGGCATCCAAGCCCAGCCGCTGAGAACTCTGCCAGGCCGTCATCAAGCTGAGCCTACAGCTGGCAAATCATGGTTGAGCAGAAGCCTCTTAGGCCAAGCATTCAGAGCAAATCAGCACAGGACTGTCGTGGCAAAATGCACCAGTCAAAGGAAAGACTGGTACCAAAAAGAACGAGGAAAACAGCGATCAAAAAACACTGCTTTGCGACAAATGTCATGTCGAGGGTGGGTTTTGCCGTCTCAACATCTGATATCAATCCAGAGGGGTCTGTTGGATGAGGTATACTTACTGTAACTGTGGGTTGCCCAGGGACCTCAGTGGCTTCTGAATTGAAAGTGTGCGACCACCGCTTTGCTTGTCAAGTTCCATGTTATATGGGAATTCAATGCTACAAGCCATCTGAGGAGAGGCTGCTAGCCAAGATTTGTGTTCAGCTAGCTTGCCCTTTAAGATGGCAAGGTCAAATTTCAGGATAAAACTTGGCCGAGTACATTGTGACAGCCTCGTGTAATATTGGAATGTATTCTAACGTCTAATGAGGGAACGGCTGTTCATTGCTCAATGAGTACTAGAAACTTGAACAGCATTAATGGTAGCAGCGATTCTCCGCTCTCATGGCTCAACGATCGTCGGCACTGTGGCCTCAGGGACAGAGCGCAGCTTGTCCGAGAAGTGCTGACACCTTGAAGCATTCTTGATGATTCAGACTTGTTTGGGAGGCTGTTGAAACTTGAACTTGTATTCTACATTAGAGTTATGATGATCTTTGAGTTGCTCAGAAGTTTACCAGACAATAACCAGGACACAGGCCCAGGCATGCTCCAATTGTCGACAGGCTTTCTTCTTGCGAGGTCCCGTCTGCCAGACTCAACTTGCACCTTTAGCGCAGGGAAGATTTGCTTCAAAGCAAAAGACCTGACAGAATGTAGCCCAGACTCCTGAGATTGAGCGTCTGCTGCTTCAAGATCATGAGCACGCTGGCGAGGTCAAAGCGAGCAGGGCCCAGCCACCGCAGGGGCTCAGCTACCACGTCCACCTCGGCGAAGAGACCAACGTAGACCATCATCACCGCCAGAAGGCGTCGGTTCATGACCTCCACCTCTAAGAGGTCAACGCGAGAGACCTGGCCTCCTGCAATCCTGTCAAGGGACCAGTCGAGCACTGCACCCATCTCTGACCAAACAGACACCTCCTCGCCTTGTCGCTGCATGTTCTGGCGCAGGGTGGCTGACAAGCCGTTGCCTGTCCCCAATGGGATTAGACTCACCGGAATCTGCTTTCCGTCCTCACGCGCAAACATGCCATTTACCAGCTCATGAAAGGTGCCATCACCTCCGAGCGTCACAGCTGCCTGGAATTCCGCAAGCTGCAGTGTCATTCCCAGCTGTCGAGCGTGACCCACACCCTCCGTAGCAATTGCTGTGCAGTCAATCCCGCGCTTGCGCAAACCTGGCAGCACCACTTCTGTCAGAATCCTTTCAGCTTGCCGCTTGCCAGCGTGAGGGTTGTAGATCAGCAGTACTTTCTTGATCGGTATTTGCCTCGCACCAGGCATCTTGGACAGCGGAGGCACCAATGGTGCGGGCTCAGGTAAATTGAAAATGCCTTCGCAGCAAGTTCGCCGTAGGGAGCAGCAGCAAAAGCAGCAAGAAAGTAGAACCAACACAAGCCCAATAGTCATCACGACTTCTCGGTAACTTGGTTGGCCAAGTTGGCTGCCACATATGATTATGCCTGCTGGCAACATGACCTCGGCGGGTGCTAGTTTGGAAGGCTTCAGTGGTGTTTTCTGCATTCATGGAAGTCTATACCCCACTGCTGGACTTACTCTGATCGATCAGTTGGCCACGGTGTACATCGCGGCCTGTCTGAAGTCAGTTTTGATAGCATCAACTATCATGAAGTACAAAGCACAGCGACAAGGAAATCATTACCCCAGTCATGCTATGCTGCTTGACACTCGACTGTTGTCGTCATTGTTTCTGTTGCTGATTCGACTCTTACTCGTGCTTGCGTTGCTATGACGACTTAAACTGACTATGCTGCAGTTCCTCATCCAGTGCATGTGTTGCTCTAAACCTTGCCGCTGAGATGTCTTGCTCCGACACCCTACACCCAAACGATTGGATCCATGTCCCAACGATACTTCTGGACTCCAAACAAGAGGCCAACAAATTCGGGACCTCTTTATGCAACAACTGTAGACGTTCAAACGCTGTCCACCCTGCATATAGACTGAGAGCATGTCAGTCACCCACAAACCCCTCTTTGACAAGTCCACATCGAGCACCTTACCCCTTCAACTTCCATTACCCGAAGATCACAACGAAGCACTGACATTTCAAAATGAGAGGCAAAAATTGTTGTTCGATGCCCTTATGAGGACTTCGTTTTGCGTGGCATACCAGGGACTTGAAAAACCACCCCAGCTTCCCAAACTCCCGTCCATAAACTCAAACAAACTCAACCAGACAACTCAACGACATTCCCTAACCCTCAACATTGAAACAAGCTCAAGATCACCTCCTAGGTCAGATGCCCAGGATGCTTTATGGCTCATTACTGATTTCCTCCGCGGCACGCCCAGAGCACAGCAAATGCAAAGGCTTCGCAGCAGCCCCACGGCTCGGTCGCAGCCACCAAGGATCCCCAAACGCTGGCAGTCCTGAACTCACTCGACGTTGCTGCTTCTGAAGGGATTTGAAGATAGGGTGTGGGGTAGCAGAACCTGCTTCCAAAACGAGATCTCACATGAGTTTTGGACCCTGGAACTGCTACATCCTGAACCCAAAAACCCCCCACAATCATAACCTCCGAACCTTAAATCCCCAAGTCGTGGATGTTCTCCGCCCTAATCCACAGTTCAGCTGGAAGCACTAATCCCAACCCTAAAACAAAAGAAAAAAGTCCTCGGACTCCAAATGTGCCACCTCGGAGGCTCATGGCAATCTCAGTGAGTCCCAAAAAGCAGGCTATATGTCGGATTACGAAACGCATATCTAGCATTACTATTTTGATCATTATTGTATATTTCGTATTTCCTCTTGCTATCATTTCCATATCACTACTGCTGTAGCTGTTGCTATTAGCGTTTGGGGTCCGTATTCCCATGCCTGACTTAAAACCTGCTGGCTCCCCATTCAAACCCTAGACAAGGAAGAACTCGTTAACCCAAGTGATCCCACAAAAACTACAAGCTGTGCTTTGCACCACTCTGTACTAAGTAAAGCATGCACATATTTGCTTACTTTTTAGATCCTTGATGTTCCAGTTTGAGATGCGATGCTCCCACTGTGCCAGGCAAAGATGAGCGAATCAGACTGTTGCAAGATGACCATTGATTGAGCTTTGGTGGTGTTGCGATGATTGCTAGCGCGCTGCAGCGATATTGCTACACACATTATTTTTGCGGGACTACGAAAAAAAAGCTGAAGGCAAGGGGCCTGCCAGCCAAATGCTTCAAACTTAGGGATGAGAACTGACGGTCAACCTAAGCACCCTACAGATATGTGAGAACTGTACGGAGCGACCCTGAAGATCTGAGGCCCATTTTGACAAACTCCCATTTGGGGCTTGACGACTGCAGACCACATCTGGAATCAACATTTCAGGTTTCTGTCTGTGGTGGCATTGCCAACTGGCATGGGTGTTGTCAATCATTCGCGCAAGCTGGTGCCAAGTTGCATCGACGGTGATGTCTGAAATTTGTGCTCCCCACCACTGCCTGTAGGGATGCAACGACTTGGCAGCGCATTGGCGCTACAAAGCGATTCCTTCATCTAAAATATTTGGCAAACCTTCCCGGAACTTTAAGGGCAGGTCCAACTTCAATTTCAGGGTATGATGTGCCATGTTGCCAAGCTCGAATCCAAGCTCACGTCTTTTAATCAAATCCAAACACAGTTGAATGAATTCATGACTTACCGAACTGTCGGGAACTGTCCAGGTCTCGCGTGTGCTCTGATTGGTCTGAGAAGAAAAAATGAATTGTATCCAAATTGGAATAAGCAAAATCCGCACTCGCGGACAAATGCGTCCGTACCCTGTATTCAAGACGTTGGTCCCCTATACAAAGCCACACAAAGCAAAACCTCATGACTGTTGTAGCGACAGCAAAACCTCACAATGTCCAAAAGCACGTGTTTTATACAATGATCTGCATCTACACTGTGTCTGATTTTCATTAACCAAAGCTGACTTTGGCTGTAGTAGCCTCACTCCCAATTCAATACGGGGATTGGGCAAGCCGGACGCGTCAGCCAACAGCGCCATTGCTGCAAACACGATCACCAAATTGATGTACACATGTTCATTCTTATAAGGAAAAACGGGTGACATTAGGAGTATTGGGGGGGTAAAAAAAGTATAGGGTCCAAAAGTTTTGTACGGACTATTTTGATAAACCCGTGCATGTTGAAAGATTATAAACGGCTGCTGGATGGTGAACAAACTTCACTTAACACGAACCAATCTCTCAACATAAAGGCAAATTTGCGGAATGACTGGCAAAACAACAAAAAAATGCTATATAACCTTGGATAGGGAAATCTAGCTGGCCGTGATTCCGAACAGGTTCAAGCAGTTGGCCTTCACTGCGGATAGGGCATTCAAGCCCAACAGAAACTCCAACATTCAATGCTTGAGCGCAATGGACTTGATGAAACGACTAAATAAAGCAAGCTGGCATTCACACTGCCAAAAACACAACATTCGGCCAAACATGAAAAAGCGAAGCTCTAAAAAACTGCACGGTCCGTGCCGCCGGACCATCAGGATTCTGCGTTTCAATTGCGAATTGCATTGGCCTAAGTAAACATAAGGATTTGTTAAATTTGAACACGTGCTTGTGATCAGGTTTGGGAAAAGCTTTGTACGACGACACCTTGAAGATCGTGCATCTGGCTTCAAAAAACAGCATAAACAAATCAAGTGAAGCAGCCAGACTAAAGGAAACACCCGCACCCGAGCGGTCGGCGCACGCGTGACAGAGGCAGCCAGCAAGTCAAGTATTGGTTTCCTACGATTCTCATGGTGCACAAAGAAACAAGCGCCTTTTTTTTGTTCGTCCAGGTGGGCTCGGAAAGCGTCGTACGTTTTGGGGCAATTAAGCCAGCGAAAAGTGATTGTTTACGCTTGCGTGCCTGACTTTTTTTTATTGATTGAGCCATACGGTTTGAGGCAAAGTGGATTAGCTTAGGCTTAGGCTTGGTGAAGAAGCAACGTCAACAAGAGAAACCCTTGCACCCGGACACGGGGATGCGCTCAACTCCTTGAGCACACGGGTCCTCGGCCATGCTTGTAAGTTGCCCAATGGCAACGCCAACACACTGTTAAAACTTTCCAAAAAAGCTTCTGATTTAGCATTCGTCCCCAAGGTTGGGTGGGCAGGACTCAATTTCTTCCGTGGCTCCTTTTGTTGCCACAGCTGCGCATGAAGCATGCAATCTTACGTGCAAGGCACGCATGTGAATTACAAATATGACAAAGACATGTTTGCAGAAAGCCTTTGAATGCGCAGCAACGTCTCCGAAGCCTAGCGATCCCGTAGACAAGCCATTTGGCCCGGCTTTCAGCTGTAGCAAGCTACATCTACCGTTTGAGGACGCAAAAACACGCAAAGAGTCAGGCTACCCGGTACTAGAATTCAGCAGTAGCCAGCAAAAGAGCTACCCGCACCGAAGCGCAGCAGTAACTAGCAAAAATTTAACTGGTTCAAGCAGGTTCAAATTAGGCTAGTCAGAGGCAGCGCATGCATGTCCCAGCAAACCTTGGGATGATGTTACCTCCTGTACAAGGGCAGTTTCCTTTGCACAAGTGATAGAGCACCAATATCCCAGTAAAGCTTGGGGCGGTGCTATCACAGCTGCTCACTCTGGCACGGCACCCATGTCCCAGCAAACTTGGAATGGTGTTGCTACTGCTTGTTGTCCACTATCATGCTGCATGGGTTGCAGCCCTTTGAATTCTCAATTTTGTCGCAAACTTCTCACGGAATGATTTGCGTCCAGGTGAATCTAATAATTTGACAGCAAAAAACAGTCAGGCGAACATACAGCTGATTCTCCATTGAGAGAAACTTGTCAGCTGAAAACGTTCCGCCATACGATTGAAAACCGTCATAAAAGTTGCGATCACCCATGATTGGTCTGGACACCATGCCTCGTTCCAGGAAGAGCTGAGGAGGTGAAGATCATTTTCAGCAATTGGTCGTACCCAAGCAGTCTGCAAAACATGAACTGTGCTCCTTATGCTGCGTTGTTGGCTGAAGTCCAAATGCTTTGCAACATCTGGCAAAACCTCCGACAGCGTCATCCTAGATAGTCTGCGCCTGTAGCGCACTGCCTCCCATCCAATCGATCGCTCACGCAGATTGTCTCTGGTACGCATCCAAAGCGTCAAGCAAACTTCCACGCAAGTGCAGCAAAAAGCTGTTGCAGCTCATCCTCCCCAGGTAAGGCAGGGACAGGCACCTCCTCTTCATTGTCCATGGAGGAAAACGTGGTAGAATAGGTGTAGCTGCTGCGTTCAGAATCCATACCGCACAATGTTGGGCACGCAAAGCTTGGAAGAGAAGAAAGCAACTCTGGGTGTATGGGTCAAGTTTGGAAATCAACTCAGGCAGAACCCACACGAGTACAGAAAAACCAGTTGGGAATTCACGCGGCCAAGTGCACACGTAGCAAATCATTACATGCGCGAACTTATGCGCAGTGCATATTACTCTTGAACCTGCTGAGATAAATGAAA